CAAAAGATCAGGGAGAGGAGCATCCCCAGCCCCTGGGCAGTCCTGAGCCAGCTCAGACACCCCGGGCAGCCCTGGGACAGGGAGCATGTCGAGCGTCCACCAGTGACCAGGGCAAGCTTGTGCCTGTCATCTCCAGTACATTGGGAAATAGTTGCTGGCTCCCCAGTTTGTGGCTTGGAGGGAGGTGGCATCTCATGGGCAGCCCAGTGGTGGGGGAAGCTGCTGGCCTCAGTGCTGAGGCTCAGCAAGCCTGGAGGAAGCTGGACTGCCTGAACCTGAATGTCTTTTCTCTCTCTGTCTCCCGCTGCTTTCACACCTTTTAGGCTGTTCGTCCGTCACGGCAAGTACGTTCGGTTTGGGGTATCGGGTGTGCTGGGCATTAAGGGCTGACAGGAGGGACAGCGAGACCCCTGCTTGGGCCGTGTCCCTAATTCCTGTGTGATACACTGGTTATGGCTACGTGCTTGTTCTGCAGACCCTCTGGGTGAGGTGGTGGGGCTGGGGGTGGCAGCACGCATGCCAGGGCTGGGTGGGCATGGCTGCTCCATCCCCTTTGCAGGGGGCTGATGCACAGATCTGCCAGGAACAGGCAGCTGCCTTTTGGCTGGGACCCTGCTCAGCTGGGATACACCTTCTGTTTGGTGGCTCTTTTTTTCAGAAATTCTTGAATGCCAGAAGGGCTTGTTTTAAGTTAAAAGATTACTGCTTGAATCCAGTTTTACATGGAATTCTGGATCTGCACACAAGTTTTTGGACAGTTTTAGCAACATGTGAGGGCAGAGGAAGGGGCGCTGCTGTCTTGCCTGGGCTGGCTGTGCCTCTGTGCAGAGCAGCATGGGTGCTAGGATGAGGACCGATGACCAGACCAGAACCGAGGGCAGTGCCCAGACACACCGAGCACATTTGCTTGTGCACACTGGGAAACCTCTCACAGTGCTGCTGTTTTTTTCTCTTTTTTAGAACTGGAGATATGTCCTGGCTAACGGGGAAAGGCTCCTAATGCTGCTGATGGCTGCGCCCTCTGGATGCTGCTCTCGCTGTGGCAGGACAGGATGGCAGCTCCACGGACAAGCGGGGCCTCCGCGGCTGAGTCATTTCCCTTTGCCTGGATGAACCCGTGCTGGTCACTGGGCACTCACCTTCCCAGCGAGAGCACCGACGGCTCCTCTGCCCCAGTGCCTACTGGGATGGGACTCTGCTGTTGCCATTCCCGTGGGACGCTGCAAAAGCAGCCTCCAGAGAGAGCACTGGCAGTGGGCACCGGTGCCAAGTGACTGCAGGAGCTGCTGACAGGCTGGGAGTCCCCAGGCGGGTCTGTCCCAGGCAGGGCCCTTGCCCCTTTAAACAGCACGAGTGCCTTTCATTTCTCCCTGTGCTTTCAGGCACGTTGCCCCTTCCCAAATCCCCTTTGTGCCCGGTAGAGCCTGGCATCCACTCCCTCTCTGCATGGCTGCAGCGCTTGCCAGGGCTCTCCCCATGCCCACTCACCCGGGAGAGCACCTGGGGGCGAGGCAGGGAGATGGGGTCGTGCTGGGTGGGCTCTCTACAGCCTCTATTTGTGTTCTGCATTCTCCCTTCTCCAGGCTGGTCCAGCCCCTCCAGCAGAGGTGGGTCCCTGCTGAGGGCTCTGGAGCTCATCAGTCCCCATCCCAGCACCCACAGCATCTCCCCATCCCAGAGCAGACAAGGAGGCTGGAGCGCTGCTCCCTGTCTCTTGGGGCTGGGTTTGGGCTTGGGCCCTGGCAGTGCTCAGTCAGTCTCCGGGGGCTCCCTGGAGAGGTGTGGCAGCCAGACTGCAGCCCCCTGGGCTTGGTGGCCATCCTTCCAGCCTGCCTTGTCATGTCTCTCTCCTTAATGATTATTGCAGGATTAGTGCTGCTGCTGAGCTGTTACTCCAGGAAAAGTAGCTGCAGGAGTATTTCTGGCTGTCCTCCAGCCTTCGTCACTCGTTACCCTGTCGCCTAGTGACAAGGCTGCATTTCTTATCTCAGCTTTCCATGCCGGTGCTTTGCTGTCATGTTTTCTGCCCCTTGCTGGAAGAAGAGCTGTATCTCCAGCTCAGGGATGGACCTAGCCAGCCCTCAGCCCCATGTCCATCAGCCCAACAGAGCCAGGGGACAAGAAAACCCCTTGGAGAGCCTCCAGTGCTCTGTCCAGGGGGAGGTTTCTTCCCCAGCAGTGTTTTACCCTGAGCCCAAAGCAAGAGGATTTATATTTTTAATTTGTTTCAGCTTCTGTGCATTAAAGCTGTACTATTCTTGGGATCTGGATCATCTCTGATTCCTTCCAAGGCCTTGCGTCATCTCTTCGTGTCGGCTGGGTGGTGCAAGCACCTCTCCTGTGGAGGCTTCCCACTCCTGTCCCGATCAACTATATTAATTTCCAGACTTTCTAATCTTTGCTGGGTAGAAACGATGCCAGTCATCTGTCTCATCTCTGGTTGGTCTCTTCTGGTTTCACTGCAAGGTTTTTCTCAGGCAGTGTGACCAGAGGGGATGATAGACAGGGATGTGCATGCTCCAGCACCCAGCAGCGAACAGGATCCTCTTCTTGAAACATCGTGTGGCTGCTGGATCCTGATGAAGGGATGTAAACTTGTAAGTCTCATCTTTACGGGGGTGAAGACCATGCAGGGGCTGAGGAGGGATCTTCTGTCCCAGCTTGCAGCTGAAGTGAGGGGAACAAGTCCTATTCCCCCTTTTTACAGAGGAGCTGTTTCAGCTGGGGCTGGGAACATCACCCCACAACATGAGGAACCCCAGTCAGCACCAAGGTTTCCTTAGGACATGTGCTGGGTCACAGGCAGCGCTCCCGGCATAGTTGGGCATCCTGACACTGACCTGTGAGCACTGCATCTCCACACCGGTGTGGGATGGTGTTGGACCTGAGACATCTCGTCCAGTGCCTCGGCAAACACCAGTGGTGAGCAAGTCCTGGAGCTTGGGCAAGTCTGGGTTGTCTCCTCTGCCACCTCCTCAGGCACATCTTGACACCTCCCATTTCAGGACAGAAAGTTTCCAGCTCCTCTTAAGAAACTGCCTGTTCCCATTGGGATCAAGCACCATTAGCTAAACTCAGCTGAGGCATGTTAGGGATCCCCAGCTGCATTGCCCCATCACATTCAGCTTCACCAGCTTGCCCAGGTATCTTCTAGGTTGCTCACCTGGGTTGCCCAGGCAGACATGATGTCCCCAGACCCCAAGATCTCCACCAGCTCATGCTCCTCACCCCATGTGCTGGCAGGACCCAGGGAGCCACTTGTTAGGCCCAGCACACCTTCCACACATCCAAGAACGTCTCTGGACATCTCGCTGGCATCACACCGCATGACAGATACGTTTTTATTTCCCTTGTGCCCTAAGCATTCATTTAAAAAATCACTGCTCCTCATGACGTGGTTTCCCAGATACTAAGCATGGCCTCACCCTTCATCTGTCCACCTCTGCCCTTGCTTTTGCACCTTGCACGTTGCTTGGGTGAATGTTGCCTCTTCATGTACTGGCATTCACTCCTCACTTTGCTCCTTCTTGCAGCCCCCAAGGAGGTCATGGCAACACAAATAGTGTTGCCTTCTTCCTTTCCTGCAGTGGCACGCTTGTCCCCCTGTCCCATGGGCTGACTGCCCTTGTCTTGGCTAGAGCTGGTCCAAGCTGAATGATGGTAGCCAACTATCTCCAGGCAGGTCTTCCCAGTGCCACTTCTGAGGCTGGGAGGTGTTCAGTGTTACAGGCTATGGTTAAACACCCTCCTTGATGCAGTGGAGACTGTCTTCTCACCAGTGCCATCTTCAGATGTCTTGTCCAGCCACGGCCAAATAGACCAGAAGGACTGCATGGGCCTTTCTGCTGATCTGCAGATCTGCTGATCTGTCCTCCCTTAGCTCAGCGTCCTTATCTAGTAACAGGCCAATGCTTATGGTGGGGTTTATTTTATCCACACGTGGTTATATCTTCTGTGAAATCCACTTCGCTGCCCTGAGCCAGGCTATGGGGCCACACTGCGGTGTCACAGCTGCACAGAAGAGCTGGAAAAAGGACATGCGGCCTGGGCTGTGCTCACAGCACGGACCTGCCTTGAGAGACTGGATCACTGTGCGTGAGAGTCCCCGCTGGCCCTCAGACAGTCATGCATTGGTCCACCACACTTTCAGCCCCAGGTGTTTGGTTTTTTTGGCAGCATACAGCAATGAGCTCTGCAACTTCATTTTGGTTTTATCAAGCAGAATAATCCTCTTTTTATTTGGTTTCTCAGGTCCCTTGCCAGTGCCTGGCCTGTTTACAATATTCTCTCCCAGTATTTGCAGCAGATGCTCTGATGCACCTTCTGGGATGGGTTGGAGGCTGATGACCATGAGATGAAGCCCTGTTGGGTAGGACTAACAGTGAAGGCCCCAAAACACCATTCCCATTCCTTGCTATTCACCTCCAGCTCAGCCACCCTCTTGCACACAACATCCCCCACTGCCCTCCCCAGGACCTCCCAGTCTAGATAGGCCCTAGGGATGCTGAGCAGCGTGGACACCCACAGGGGCAGTCCATTAGCAGGGAAGCTTGTGGTAATAGGTAAAATGCTCCATGAGTCCGGAGGCTTTGAAGAGGCATTTCTGGTGAAGAGCACCATCCCCTCCCTGGGCATCCTCGTCTGTCAGGGAGTTTTGAGCAATAATTATATTGATACAAGGTGCGGTGGAGCAGAGTGCTGGCTGCAGAGTGCACAGGCTGGGGATACTGCCGTGTCCCCATCATGGTGATGGGTACAACCTGCTGCTCACCTCTGCGAGCTGCTGTGGAAAAGAGACACTCTGGGGCCTTATGGCTCCCGTGTGGGCTTGGTGCCCCCGGTGGGGAAATTTTCCTTCCCCACATCCTCCCTGCTCAGCAGCCCTGTCCCTGGGGAGCCAATGGCCAGGTGGCCCCACGCATTAGCCTGACCGGTCATCCTGTTAATTATCTTCTGGCTAATCCCTCCAGAACTGGGCTGGAGCAAATCATCTGCCGGCCATGGCTGCACACACTCCTCTGCCCCCCAACCTCCGCTGGGGCCTGGTGGCGTTCAGCAGCTCTCTCTTCGTCAACAACAAGACGCGGGACAGTGGCGCTGCCCACATCTACCACCCCGGTATGGGCAGCAGGGCTTTGTGGCAGGGGGGTTTGGGAGGGGGAGGTTTGCTGTTGCTTCATCACAGTGAGCCTGCTCATTACCAGAGCACCCAAAGGGTCCCCACACCCACTCACAGATGAGGGGGAGCAAAAATAAGTGCATTTGCTGCAAACAGCAGTTCTTGCCACCCAGCCATCCCCCCCGGCATGGCAGAGGCCATTGCTCTCCCCTCCATGAGCTGTGACGCAGGGGGGGTCCCTCTGGGCAGCAAGACCCTGGGGGTGCTGGGCAGCCCTGCCTACTCCTGCCTGCCCTGCCTAGCTCGTGAGGTGCTGGCCAGCCTGCCCCTGCAGATGATGCTCTACTTCAACGCCTACTACTTCCCACTCTGGTGCCTGGCCGAGGGGACGATGCTGCAGCTGAAGGTACCATCCCACGGGGCACGGTTGTGGGGTGTAGGTTACCCCACTCTTGCCCAACTTCCCAGGGCATGCAGGGGCCACACCAAGCAGGGGAGGGGGGAACCTCTTCAAAATTAATGGGTCTCCACACACAAAATGCCCTGTCCCCACAAGTCAAGATGACTCCTCCAGCTGCCAGAAATGGAAATCATGAGAACAACCACTGAACTTTCCAGGCAGGAAAGGTTAAACTGGGAGGGCAGAGTGGGCAGGGCTGGGCACCAGCATGGGGTGGTGGTGCGGGAGCTGGCAAAGCATGGGGAGCTGGGCATGGGACTCAGGGGATGGGAAACTGGGCATGGAGACCTGGGCACAGGGTATGGGGCTGGCTGGGACAAGGCTGCGCTCCCGTTACAGTATCACCTGCTGCCTCCACATTATCAGTTCCTGCTGGTCACTGCCTTCCTCATCCTCTCCCTGGCTGAGGGCTCCCGCCTCTACCTGGGCTATGTGGGGAACCTGCAGGAGAAGGTAAGCACCATTTCTCTGTCCTGGCCACAGGTCTCTAGTGCTCAGTGAGGGATGGCCCTGCTGTGGGATCTGTGGCTGTGCTGATGTCCCCTTGCTCAGGACCTGAGTGCTTGTCACCACCTGTTCCCTCTGGAGTCCTGCCCAGAGCTGTCCTGTCATGGGTGCAGGCAGGGCCTGAAGGCAGAGGATGAAAGGGACCCACTTGGTCCTCTGCCATATCCCTCCCTATGCAGTGGGTGCGATGCTTCAGCACTGGGCTCGACAGCATCTGGCCACATCCAGGCCCAGCTCCACATGGTGGGGATGTCCGTGGTACCCAGGTGCTAAGGCCAGCAGAGTGGCTGATGCAGGGAACTGCTGGGGCAGAGAGGGTCCTCCCACCCCACTGATGGCCTCTGCACCCCGTCTCAGCAGGCTCTGCTCCCACAGGTGCCTGAACTGGCTGGGTTCCTGCTCCTCTCCTTCCTCATCCCGCTCCCGCCCCTGAAACGCCCGCCCCCCCCCCCTGCCACTGGAGATGTCCATGCACAGCTTTTTCCTGGCCTTCCTCATTGCTGAGATTGTGGCCTCCTTCCTCACACTGAAGACCATGACCAAGCAGCTGGCAGCACAGTTCTACCTACATCAGTTCAAGGAGGGTGGCAGGGGACATGAGGGCACAGGGGAAAAAGCAGCCGAGGAGTGGTGATGCTGCAGGACCCCTCCATCCCTGCAGTCAGTCCTGGCAGGGAGCATTAAATAGTGCTTGGACCTGTGCTGTGCCTCCACACACTGCTTTTGAGCTGGGCAGCTCAGGGGCTTGTGGGGCTACTAGAGCACCCAACAGCCATGGATCCAGCCAGCCCCTGCCCTGCACCAGGCTGGCACAGGTTGCGGCACAAGGTTCAGCACCTCCAAAATGCTCAGACTCACTTCAGGGCTGAACATTAGCCCTGGCAGGAGGCAAGAACCAGGGGGCACAGGAGCCACTGCATCCCCCTGCAAGCAAGCACCAGCCCAGGGCTGCTGCCTTAAGTTCAGCTCTCAAACCCTACCTGAGCATAACAGAAAGGGGGGTGGGCAGCCCTGTGGGAGTGCGTGAGGATCTTGGGGGCTCACATGAAGCCACCCCAGCTGGAATCATGCAGGGTGCTGTGAGGTGCAGGAGCCACACCACAAAACCTTCACAGCCACCTTCAGGGCTAGAGACAGAGGAGAGCCACTTCCAGCTTTCTGAACAGCTTTATTCCATTGCATTCCTGTTTTTCACAGGAAATCAAGGCCCAGGGCCATCTGGAAGGTAAAGAAGCGCAAAATGCTTTAAGCCTCTTGTGCTGAGCACAGGCCAGCCGCTTCCCAGTGCCAGGTCCTGCAGCAGGGCTCTGCTTGGTCACCAGCAGGTCAGTGCTGGGAGCTGCTCTGTGCTCCAGGAGCCAAGAACTTCTGCTGATCAAATATTTCGCCAGGAAAGGCAGACCCTAACCCCAGTAGTGCACACTCGGGCCAGGAGAACTGTGTCACCTCCACCTAGGCTGCAGCCATGCCCCCATCGTATCTACCTGGAGGTTGCTCCAGAGCAAAGGGTGCTTGTGGTAGAACATTCCCAATGTCCCTAAGCTGTGGCCTCGGTCTTACCTTTAGGGGGTTTTACCTGCAAAATGGAACAGAGGTATCTTAGTACACTAGATAGGACAGCCCAGGCAGGTGGTCTTGCGCTGCTTTGCTCAGTCCCACGCTACTGGATTCACTGTTTGAGACCCCCACTCCACTCATGATTTGAGATCAGGCACTGGGAACAACTTTTCAGCCTCCTGTAGTATGGTGCAACCCTGGGGCACTTCACCGGGAGCTGGGAGATCTCTGTCCTCAGAGGTTGCTAAGACTCGGGCAGATAAAATCGAAGACGACCCACGGCAGGGCTGGCAGCTCTCCTGCTCTGTGGGGGCCTCCCAGCCCACACCTCCAACTCCCCGATTCACCAGTGCTGGGCAGTACGGGAGCAGGAATCACACACAGCAAGAAACCCATCACTGAAGTGCAGCAGCAGCAGCACCGACCAGAGCCAGGCCACATTGAAGAGCTGCCCTCTCTCCTCTGTCCTTCCTCGTCATGGAAGATGGTGAATAAACGTGGGGCTGGGCCAGGTTTCTATGGCAAGGTTCCACCCCCAGGGACTCCTTGCTGTCTAACAGTAGCTGAGGTGCAGCTTTCCCTGCAGTCTGGGCACCACCTGGGTCCCTCTTCCACTCAGCCACCTGTTGTCATTAAATGTGTAAGGGTTTAATCTCTGCCGGGCTCAGTTCAGACCAGCCATCAAGCCCAAGTCAAAGACTACGAACTGCTCCACTGGGGTTTTCCCAGATCTTGTGAATTGCATTAACCAAGGGGCAGAAAATAAATCTCACAAAACTTCACTGCAACCTCAGCTCTCCAAAGCTGCCCCATCCTTACCTCCTCAAACTTCTCTTTCCAGTAGAGGTCAGCCTTCGCATCCAGGTAGAGCAGAACCAGGTCACAGACCACCGTGGCCTGGAGACAAACGCAGCAGGGCAGCCAGCAGTGAGATGTCCCGCAGCCCTGCCCCGGCTCCCACCAAGCCCTGCAGCCATGGGCCCAGCCTGCGTGGGGGCAGTGAGCCTGACCTGCCTCTGGCCCAGGACACCCAGGCAGCTCCACCAGGTCCTCTCTGACCCAACCTGCTCCCAACAGCTGCACAGGAGGAGAAATGGGATCATCTGGGCTACAAGACACAGACCCAGGGTGAGAGCTGGTCTGGTGGAAAGCCACCATGTAAGGGACCAGGGCACATCTGGGAGGAGAGGGGGAGTGTGGGGGCCTCAGGGTCCCTGTTACCCTGCTGAAGGGGAAGAGCCACAGAGGTGCTCTACAAGGGGCTGCCCTATCTTGATAACCACAATGTCAGGTCCATGCTGGAGCCAGACCGTAGCTCCCCTGGGAGTCAGGGGAGAAACAGAGAGGAGGTGGTCTCTGCTGCTGGCCCAGACAGCTGGAGCAGACCAGCCAGCAATGCCCCAGTGATATACCTTCCCCAGGCCAACGAAAACACTTGACCTCCATGAGATGTGCCCCTGACAGCGCTCAGGATCCTTGATCCAGCAGTGTTGTTACTGCTAACGATCACAAATAGGAGCTAACACCAGAAGCACCCAGGAAGCCTTTGCGCCCAGGCAGGGGTAACAACAGCTGAGAGGCAAATCCCAACTCATGGTCTGGAGGAAAAGAGCGTATCTGGAGTACTCACAGCACCAAAGAACGCGATGCTGGTGCCAAAGCTCACAGCAACAGGAATTATGCTGAACTTCCCAGCCTGGTGAGAAACAGTGGGTGGAGGGGGGAGACAGTGGGCAGAGAATGGTGAGAGGACTGCAGGCCAAGCCCCACTGGGCAGCATGCTTAAAGCTGGCTGTCTGGGGAAAGGGGAGATGCTGGAGGAAACCAGAGTCATTTCTCTGTGCCCAGTAGGAACCTGACTGCTACTGCAGTGACTCAAAACCCCTGTGGCTGCCAAAAGGGGGACAGAGGCAGCTCATGACTTGGTGGCAGCAGAGGTTACTGTGACCCACCTGCTCCTGCGGGCATGGCAGGAACATGCCTCCTGCTGCAGGGCTCCAGGAGCTGCCACCCACACCCCCGCAAACATCACCTTGATGTGATGTGTCCCCTTCTGCTCAAGTGAGCCTTGTATATTTCAGGTAAGAGATTTTTGTGTTCCTGTTCCTCTCCTGGCTATTCTTTCCTGCTCCTACCTCCCAGACTTGGTCTCACCACCCCGAAGTAGTGCACGCTGTCCTGCCCTGTGTGCTTTGCCCGCTTCACATGAAAAGGACACTGCTAAGGACAAGAGACCAGCTGTGGACATCTCTTGGGATAGCAAATCCTCCAGGATAGGCCCCATCTTACAAAGTTGAGTACTGAGTTTGTCAGTGATGCTGCACACAGAGTAGCATCAGCCATGATCATGTCCATACCTTTCTCACCAAGGGTACAATTAATAAGAAAGGAATTAATTGACCAGGTTCAAAAAAGTTCAGGTTGATCTTTGCCAGGGTGTTCCCACCATGGGACCCTCAGAGATGCCGACAGTTGCTCTGCCCAGACAAGCTAACCTTGCCTAGAGGGCCCAGCAACTCACAACACCCATGTCAGGTCCTTGAGGAAAGCCTCCCTGCTCAGGGCATTACCAAGAAAGATCTCTTCAAATGGGAGATATGAATTTTTCCTGCTCTGCTTGGAAAACTCTGGAAAGAGGTGAAGAGCTCACCAGGGTGGGGAGAAGCGACGCCAGCAGGAAGCCATGGGGCTGGCTGCAGGAGAAAGCATGGAGTGGTGCGAGGAGTCAGCCCTGGTGGCAAGGCTGCGCATATGGAGTCTGCAGAGGAGATGGTACCTGGCCGTGCACAGAGATGTCGAAGCGGATGCCATAGAGTTTCAGCAGGTTCCGGTAGAGCTGCCGCTGGGAGTCCCAGTAGTAGGAAGCAGTCCTGTGGGAGACATTGGATGCGGCTCAGAAAGCCACAGCAGCTCTGCACAAGCAGTAAAGGAAGAGGGCTGCCAGTGCTGTAGCATCACTGGGGCTACCATGTGTCTGTTCACACCCTGTGTCCTCCAGTGGGCTGGGATGTGGGCGATGGATGTGCTGCCATGGCTCACTAGCTTGGCTCCAGCAGTGGGGTACAGCTTTTGCTCAGCACTCAGCCCAGGGAGCATGCAGGTCCCAGTGCGTCCAGCTCAGGGTGCAGACAGCCCCGCATCCCTGCCCTCAGGCAGGCAATGCCTCGTACAGCTCCACACAGAGCAGAGCTACAATGTGTGGGAACTACCATAGCACCCTAGTACTGACAGACCCTGCACTGAGTTACCAAGTCCCAGTGGCCCTGCTGCTCCTTTCAGAGCATCAGGAAAACTGAGATCTCAAACGACTGCCACGCGCTCGTCCCACAGAGCTGCGCAGCTGCTGCCCCAGCACCCTCACCTGAAATTGTACCTCCTGTCCTGCAGGCTGAAGGAGTACTGCGGCAGGCACTGGGCAGCGGTGTGGTCCAGGTTGCAGTCCCACTCGATGCGAACCCCAATGCTCCCCCCCTGCAAAACACATTTTATTCCAGGAGAATTTGCTGAGTGCTTTACTGTTCAGGTGTTTACAGACCACACAGAGAGGCCACATTGCACCTTTAGCAATTTCAGGGGTCATTCCTATCCCCCACCCCTTGCCCATGCCCTTGAGGAGTTTGCAATCATCTTCCATACTTTTAAAGAAAAAGCAAATACCAGCAGTGCAAGGTCCTCAAAGGTCTCTCCAGCTGCCTCCACCATGTCACGGACATGGAAGATGGGGCAGGAGGGGCTGAAGGATGGATCGTATGTGCAGCTCTTGAAATATGTAGGGTCATTTGTTTGCAAAGCATTGCACCTGAGACAGGAGAGAGAGAGAGAGGTGGAGCAGGGTGTGGGAGGACGGGGAATCCTGCTGCAGGACTGAAAAGGAGGCCTTCCTGCTGCAGTGGGACCATTAATGCTCATGCTTCAGAGAGACAGTCACTGCCTCACCTAAAGACTCAGCTGGAGAGCAGGTGGAGGGAAACCGCCCCAGAGGCATCACACATGGAGTTATCACCCTTTACAGCACTTGCCATGGTCCTTCTCCCCCAGCTCCTCTCTTTCACTTCTGCCTTTATGCTGCTTCTTTCTTTCCTGGAACCCAGCACCCACTGCTGTGAGATGTAATGTCCCAGGCTCAGTTACTGCTCTAGGGATGACAGCAGGGGCAGCTCAGCTGCTGTGTATCCTGCCAGATAAAGCAGCACAGTCAGCATCCCTGGGGCTGAGGCCAGTGCAGCCCTTTTTCAGGGACTAAAATGCAGAAGTACATGGGTTAAAATGCGAGCTGGAGAATGGCTGGCCTGCTCATGCTCTGCAGTGCTCTAGCCAGGTGGGAGCACAGCAGTCCCTCTATCCAGGGGCTCCCCATCCCCATTGCTCTTGTATCTGCAAACACAGGTGCTGTCAAACCGATTGGTGTTCTCCTGAGCATGCCATCCTGAAACGTAACTGCCCAAGCCACCAGCCATCCTGGACAGCACATAGTTTCTCTGATGCCTTGGCTGCTCAGCCTCTAGGCAGGCAAACACAGAGCAGAGGCTAGACTAAGTCACACACACAGGCTGGATGGAGAAGCATCATACTTACTTGGAGAAATTAAATTTGGTGAAGTGGACAGTGTTTTTTATAAAAAGAGTGAAATTCTCCGCCTCAGCCAGTAGAGGTTTCCTGGAAAACAACCACCAATGAACTCAAATTTTGCAGAGCAGTCCCCATTCCCCTCACTCTGCAGCCTGTTCCACAAACCCAGGACTTTGTCTACAAGAGACAATTGCAAGAAATGCTCTTGTGTGAAGTTCTCTAGGCTTAACTGACTGGTAGATCAATGCCAAAGATCTTCCTGGCTGCCCTCTGGGCAAGTATGATCAGGCCCCCGGTTACACAGAGCACAGGGAGAAGCAACTGAAGCTCTCAAAAAACCCACCTGCTGCCTCCTGACCCTGTGCCATACCTGGGCAGAGTGTTGTTCTCCACAGGACACCAGCCATAGATCTCACAGGTGGAATGGGTGGTGTTGAACATCACACATTTCCCAGTTTTTATCCCTAGAAATGAAACAAACAAATGTCAACAATGGATGACAACATATCATTCACTATTCCTTTTCAAAATGTTTTCTCTGCAGTTCCCCTCCCAGGTCAGTGCCCTGGCCACTGGTTTTTTCCAACCTTCTCAACACCTGAACCAAAGATGAACCTGGGATCATCTTCAGTGTTTTCTCCACCCAGCCACTTCCCTGTGAAACCCTCCCTTGAGGCTGAATGACAGGAGCTGTTTTACAAAGACAAGAAACTGCCTGCTGCTGTCAGCGCCTGCCTGTCCAGTGCAGCCTCTCCTGCCCCGGGGCTGCTGAAGGGGAATGTGCTCCCCGGGTGGGAGCTGCGGCAGTCCTGCATACAAAGCCTTGGCAACCGACCTCCTAGAGCTGAAATATCCTTTTCCAAGTGAACTCACACAGGCTGGTAGTATTAATCAGCATGAAATAAAAGCCAGGTTTTATTACAAAAGGAAAACCTGCCAATCGCATGGTGCAGTGGTTTCTATTCCAGCAGCCAACCTCAGAAACAAAGCAACCCTGTATCTGCTGTGACAGTGCCCTGTGCCCACAGTGCTGGCCCATCCAGCCACGATGGGTTGCTGGAAGGTTTTGCCAAGAATAAATGGCTGCAGAGTGCACCTGAGCACACTTACAAAGAGCACTGAACTTGGGCAATCAGGCACCTTTGTGGATCTGTTTTCTACCAAACATGAGGAATTAAATGATTTTGTGGTTTTTTAGTAAAACACCCAGTACCGTTGCCATGAACCACTGGGTTTCCCATGGGACAGTCTGCATCTTCTGTGCACACCGCATCGAGAACAGAGGGGCTCTGAGAGAGACAGAGAGAAGAGCTGTTACTGCACTGCGCAGCCGCTGAGGCCACACAGTCACTCACCCATGTTTCTGCACTGCTGCTCCCGTTTCCTCAAGCACATTCCAAGTGCTTACAGAAGACATCCACCATGGCCAGAACATGGGTGGCCTCTGGCCAGCAAGGAGAGAGGCATCTCTGAGGGGCAATCCTTCCCACCTGTCTCCATGCTCACTGACCACTTGCCTCCTCCACCTCAAAGGTGGAGGGAGCCTCAGGAGCTGGCTTGGACCTTTTGGCTGGGACTGAGAACAAGCACAGTTGGGTTTGGGAGGGCCATAATGGCAGAGCCCATTAAGCACCACCACAATTCTCACAGGGAATCCCCAAGCCCAGAGGAGCACAGAGGCCCAAGGCCAGGCGGCAAAACCCCAGCTGTGAAGCTAGAAAGTCCCAGGACAGCCTCAGCCCCTCCTTCCAGGTGTGAAACCCACCACAGTGAGCTGAGAGGAGCGGCTCTCTGAGGTACCTTTGGAGTGTGTGGGGGGGACACTGCTTAGGGGTATGGGAATCATTATGACATGCAGGAGAAAAGCATCTTGGGATTGCACAGGCAGTTTAGGAGATGGGATGTTTACAGGAGGAAGAAAAGGCATGGAAAGGGAGGGAGAGCTCTAGGTGAGGTGAGGAGTAACATACAGAGGGATAAAAGGATGCAAAGGACTGGTTGCACACACAGAGCTGCTCTGTGCCCCATCAGCACAGTCTGCCCTGTCTTCAGACTAAACTCCCTGTTTTCCTGGGCAAGGGGCTCTCTTCTGTGTGCACATGTGTGTATGGGGGTCTGAGAGCCAGCAGCTGGAGTGGGACCACCGGTCGCAGGGGCCCACGTGCCTGGGTGCCACCAGCTGCAGCAAGTGCAGACATGCACATGAACATGTGATTCACAGCAAAGGTCAGGCCAGACAAGCCAGCGAGGAGGCAAAGGTGCCTGGGAGCAGGGAGGGGCCGTGACTAAGGGCGAGCCCACAGGACTACCTGGGGGACCAGGAAGTCCTGTCTGACTGCTGGAGAGGGGTGGCTACTGGATTCATGCCCCTTGTCCCCACTGATGGCCCACTCACAGCTTGCAGGACCCACCTGCAATGCTGTAATGAGCACTTATGGGAGCACTTTGCCTCCCTGGACCCAAACCAGATGTCACAGATGAAGTCTCCAGAAGGACCCTGACAACAGATCTTTGCAGACGAGCATGTCAGTCCCTTCCTAAGTCCAGGTAACAACATCCATGACAAGTGCCACTTGGCAGACAGACACTTCTGAGTGTCCAGGGCACACAAGCTGCAGAGCTTGGGAAAAATTCAGGTACTGATGTCTGTAATGGTGTTACAGAAAACCTAAAACCTGGCCTAGAAGGTTTCAACCTTACCTACCACTTTTTAATGAAAATGAGCCTTGAAGTAAAAGTCTGTTGGCGCTGGCATTCTCCACAGGCATGATCCAGACCAAGTTACATGTGCCACAACTGCGGTGTGTGAGAAGCAAAGAGATCCAGGCTCATGGGGTCCTGGATCTGCGCTCCTACATCTCTCTAAACCACTGCTGTGTAAGGGTCTAAAAGCTTGGGAAAATTAGAAGTGACGATTTTTTTCTAGGAACCTACTCAAGCACAGCAGATTTGGGACAGGACAGGAATATGAGCCCACAGCATTCAGAACAGGTTTCTTGACAAAGTAGGTGAACTACTACACGTTTTCGTAAGACATCCCCCAAGGTGCTCAAAGCAGAGCTCATAAGCTGCTTGGAGTTGGTAGCATTTGTGTTCCTGGAATGGGGTGATTTCCGACAGGGACAGCAAAGAGGTGCATGTGTTGGCAGCAGAGATCTGTGCATAAACTCTTGGAATCTCAGGGCTGAAAGGTTTATATTTAATTTCTGTAGTCACAAATATATGGGTGGAGAATGCTTTATTCTTAATCTTTTCAGAAAAAAATGCTGATTCCCAGCCTCCGACAGCCATGCAGCCATGTACCAGGGACCGGGAAGCAAAGTGAACCTTCTTGGAGAGCAAACCAACAGTAGCAACACATGCTAGCAAACATGGATTAGGCTTCTCCCGAAATCTAACACCCTCCTCATCCTCTTAGGACACAGTCCTGTGCTGCTTGGGGCTGGGACCAGTGCTGTTCACATCCATCAGCAGCATCTGAACCTGCAAGAGCTGAGCAGAGCTGGATGTGCTAAAGACCATCATTTCAGTGAAATGGTCCCTTAGCCTCAGAGCTTACAGCTGGACAGGGCGGATGCACTAACGCTGCTGGCTCTAGGTCTATTTTGATCATCTTCATTAACCTTCAGAGCTCCTTGCAAACAGAGGCAGAGGGATTCCAAGCACTCAATATGTTTGAGATCAATACTAAAAGGTCTCCCTAAGAGCTAGGTCATAGCTCAGCCACAGATCTGAGCTCAACACAAACATCAGCTGCTAAAACACCCCGTCCCGTGTTCGGGTGCTGCCTCTGGCCCCAGTCAGACTTTTCCCTGCTCTGCCAGTACAGAATCCTTTGGTAGTCAAGAATACTCAGAACTTCCTGAAAAACCAAAAGCCATCACTGCTAAATCTTCAAAGCTTTCCAAACATGAATGTCAGCTACAGCCCCAAAGCCAGGAACTGAGAAACTACTAGAGAGCAGCATGGGGCGAAGGCTGCAACAGGCACCCAGACACGCCACAGCACTGTAATGGGATGACATGCGCTGTTTTCTCCGTACCCTTGGCTTGCACACTGCAAAAATAAGCATCCAGAGATGCCTGTGACTCCCTGTGAGAGAACCCTGAAATGCTCTATGGCACGTACCTTTCCCTGGAGACAATCCTGTAGCTATCAGTACTTCAGGAGTTCTCCACATTTTAAAGAGGGTTTGTTAGTATTGTTTTCCCCAACCCAAAACCTGGGATCGCTCCTCCTCTTCTACAGCCCGTGGGCTGCATTTGGAGAGCAGCCCAGTCCAGCAGCATGCAGCACAGGGCAAGCTGGGACCAGGATCAGGCTGGGCATGGCACAGCGGGTCACAGCAACAGCCGAAGGGACCATCAGGACAAACAGTGCTTGACTCAGGCATAAGGTGCCAGCACTGGCTTAGCTTAAAAGACATTTATTTGCTCCTGTCTGCCAAGCAGGGTCCAGCTTGGGAGTGTTGAGGAGCTGGCCTGAATCCAGCCTTAAAGGGAAGATTTCTCCCAGAGAACATATCCCACTAAGTGCTGGTTGACTAGGAAACCACCTAGACCTAGACCTCTGTTCCTCCTAAAAATAAGACACTAAGATGGGGAGGATACTGTGGCAGAGTTACAAAGGAAACATGACACAGGTATCCATAGAGTGAGTAAGAAAAGCATCAGGCAAAATGGCAGAACAGAGGTAAGAGAATGGAGCAACAAGTCAAGAAACCAAGAATATGTGTGAGATTCAAGAGGGAAGACAAGTGACAGAGCTGAGGACAGCCGTCCTGATGCCAGCTGCACCGCAGAGATGGAACAGCGACACAGGAACACAGCTCAGCATCCCCAAAGTGGCCCTTGTCCAAAGGCAGCAGAATGCCTGTCAAGATCACACCGTGGCTCCCCCTCTCAGGAAGCCCAGCGAGCTGGCCAGGCCCCAGCAGGCCATGTCCCTTGTCCTTCTGGTCACCACAAGCGATTCCGGCCAGACTGCTTGGATCTTGGTTCATGCAGGTATGACAGAGCAAGTGCAAATGAGGGAGTGAGATCTATGGAGCAATAAGAACGAGGGGAATCAGTTCTGTTTGGAATAAAACCCCATTTTCCCTTCTGTCTGGTATTGCACTGGGTTTGTCCAAGTTCCTGTACAGCTAGAGAGCAGCAGCACTGTGACTCTGTAAACCCGACCCCGCCGCAGCGCTAGGCGCAGCCGGCACAGCTCACTTACCTCGGGACAGGTGCCCTGGGCTTGCCTTGCCGTAGCGATGAAATTGGTCACCAGAAAGAGCACGTTTTCTCCCTAGGCGGCAAGAAGGCACCTTCAGCAGGGGATTCACACCGTCCCACTCCTCAGCAGCAGAACAGCCAACAGATTTTCTATTTTTCTTTGTTTTGTAATTTACAGCGTTATCGTCGCCTTGCCTTTCCTAAAGGGTTTTCCCACAGCTTTTGCCAACTGCCCCCTCCCCGAGGCGGCCGAAACGCCGGCAGCTCGGGGCCAGGGCCGTACCTGAGGGGGCCAGGCGTAG